TTCTTAAGATCGTTTTGAAGGCCGGAAGAGGTGTTGTTGATTTTGTAGATACGGTCAATAAGAGTTCGGATAAGGCCAATTTTGTAGCATGATGGAATAAAACTAAAAAAATTTGTTAGGAAACCAGTGTAGGTTTTTTTATGAAAAACGTACTGAAAAAACACAATCATTCGAAGAGTTGTCGATAAATATATCAAGAAAGAAGATGATTGAAGATGTCATAAGCATGCCGAAACATGTCTCTCAAAAAAGTTGTCTATTTCTTACAATAATAATAATAATAATAATAATAATAAATAAATAACAATGATGATAATAATGAAATAATAACGATAATAATAATTCTGAATCCGGCTCACGGATGATAAGACTTAAGGTGCTTTTCAGAGTCGACGTTCAGAATTGATCAACCTAAGTGGTCGATTACTTGAGAGAATTCGACTGTCAATCAGAATTGTTCGATGAGATCTGCGAAACTTACAAGCCTTTTATTCCACTACTACGCCAATTCAGTTAGCATATTAGGGCATTGGAACGCGCAAAATATGCCACAGTAATACATTGTAGAATACGGCAAAAACACGGACAGAAAGCTGAACAAAATGGCCTCACTGAAAGATCTAAAGTTCTATTCAAATTTTCCGGCTTAACCTTTAGACCAACGAACTTTTAAGCGATTTTGTACGTTCGTTTTTGTACAGACTTCGTCCCACCGGTCTCTACTACCACGACCTCGGGCCAATATTCCCTAGAACGGCCCTCGCACTCAGTTGGTGAGAAGTTATCCCTACCTTTCACCTTCTGGTCCTCCTTGAAGGAGTTCAATGTTTTCGTTTTCCGGCAAATCACTCTCCTGGTTCTCGTCAATATCCACTTTAAACATGGAAACAGGGAAAAGTTCTCTTTCACATACCTGCGATACAATACACGTAATAAGAGAGTACCGCATATGATTTAAAACCATTAACAGGTATTAAGCTTTGATCGTTCACGTGGCGAACTGAAATAATTCGCATGAGATAATAATAATAATAATAATAATAATAATAATAATAATAATAACGTTACTGGGAACAGCGAGGATTTTGAGAAAGGTGTTGGATACCTAGAGTAAAGAGAAAATCCGAAGAGACCCCTGGTCATGGGCTATGACTCGCTCCCTTAGGAACAACCCGGAAAAAGATCATCCAGTTCGTTTACTATAATAATAATAATTATAATAATAATGATTATTAAATAATCTTTATTCACTATAATCACTAAAAGTATTTACAAA